ATCTATATCCCCAAGATCATTAAAGGTGATGTCATTTTATAAATCATAGGTTATGCGACAGTTAGGGCTGATTTTCCACTTGACAAACTTTGAAATCAGCTAAGAGAGAAGCATGTAGGCATATCTGTCAAGATTATTTAGAATACATTAACTTCTGACTAAGCCTATGAGGGATCATATTGATGAGTTAATTTGAATGAGAAGACTCACCCTGAAAGTGGCACCATTCCCTAGGCTTGTGGCAAAAGCAGGAATCTAGCCAAGGACTAGCATCCATGCCTATCCCTTAAGTTTACTGGGAACATCATGTCACTAACTGCTTCAAATTCATGCTACCTTGACTCTTACACAATGATGGGCCTTACCCCTTAACAATGGGCCAACATAAAACTGTTCTTTACTTAAGTGGCTTTTTTCAGGATACTTTGTCACAGCAACAGGAAAGTAAATAAGACTACATGCTTAGATTTACTTCTCAACAGTTTTCCACAAAATTCTTTCATTGTGTCAAAAAAAAACTCAGAAATGAGGGGGAAATCCCACAAACAAATGTACTTTATATTGTAAGATGACTATGACTGGAGCATGTACATTTAACCACAAGGAGATAGCTCTCCATAGCTGGACAATGGTGGTAAAATTCCCACTATGTGGGCCGTATCTCGTACCAATACACAGACTATTGGACTTAAAAATACTAACACACTGGTAAATTGAATGTTTCTAAACACACACACACACACACATACACACAAACACATTCATACACACACAAAGACATTCACACACATACACACAAACACATTCACACACATACACAAACACACACACACACACACATATATATATATATATATATATATATATATATATATATATTACTTTTTGGCTGTTTCAATAAAAAGTTGTATGGGCAAATGCTATCATAAGAACTTTTTAATTAATACATGGAAGTTACCAAAATGTAACCAAAACAACTTTAAAATTCACAATAAAAACAAAAATACATGAAAACATATAATATACCAACCTATGATAGATACATTTATAGTAATATACAGTGTAGTATAATAAATATATATCATATATATCATCCTAGAGAAACTTAAAATATATGATGGTTAGCTTTGAAGTCTTTAAAGTTTTACAAAATTTGATAGTGTTTAAGTTCATTTTTCCCAGAATATGCAACTTAATAAATTTTGTCATGAATTTTTTTTAAATTTTATGTATGTATATAACATGTACAGAGATGAGAAAAGGGTATTAGATTCCCCTAGAGCTGTAGTTCACAGGTGATTGTTAGCTGCCCAACATAGGTGCTGAGAACTTAACCAGCTCCTCTGGAGGAGCAGGAAAGGCTGGTAAGTCATGGGCCATCTCCACAAGGGCCATCTCCTTGTCATGAGGTCTTAAAAAGCTTGTTCAGTCATAACTTGTTCCTTTAAAAAACTCCACACACATATTCAGACCCATATTTTGATTATCTGTTCACAGGCTGAGTGATAATTAGGTTGTTTCCATTTACTAGCTGCTGTAGATAGAGATGCAGTGAATGTAGTTGAGTAAGTATCTGTGGGGGAGGATGTTGAAAGAAAGACTTGTGCGTTCTCTCTCATTGGGGGCTCATAGCCCCAAATCTTCAGAGAGGAGTACATATTCTGGAGTAACTACAGAAACCACAGAAGTAAAGGGGACCATTGCTGGGGTGAAGGGTGGGGAGCACTACAGATGAGAATAGCAGGATACAAGCGATTTGAGCAAGGAAATGGGAAGAACAGGGAGGGCTTTAATTAGGGAGGTGTGAGGAAACAAGTAGAGAAGAAGGAAAAGGGTACAATAATGAGAGAGATGTCTGAGAAAGTCATAAGGAATCATAACTAAAAACACCTTTAGTACACTTAGCTCTGTATAAATATACACATACAGTTTAAATGAAATTTTCTCATCAGGATTGGTAATATTCAATCCAAGAACTAAAGACTATAACAAACACCCCACACCAGTCATAAGAAGTCCTCTTTTAAGGTGTTGATCAGAACTGTCCAAGAGACTCCCAAATCATTACAGGCTATTACTTTTGTTCTTGCTTTCCTCCAAGAAGTGAAGGCAATTCTCTTATTGCTGAAGACACCATGCACTTCAGATACAAGATCTAGAGGCCTTATTCACAAAAGCCAGCAAATGGAAACAGCCTAGATGTCTATTGATGAATGAATGGATAACAAAGTTGTGGTTCCTTCACACAGTGGAATGCTGTTCATCCGTTTAAAAGGTCAAATGATAATACCACTGTACCGCACAAAAGTTACTCAGCAGCACAATAGTGGTATAGTTATTGTTGGGATAACCAATCACTATATGAACTTACTTGAGACCCACTCCACAGGATGGAATCCATGCCTGCTAACATAAACCACATCAAAACCCATTGCTGGGGAGGTCATACAGCCTAAAGTGTGTCTGGGTGGTATTTACCACTGTTGTTTGACTAAATTGACATGGCACCAAACTGACTTTGAAATATTTATGTCTGTAGATAAATATTATGCTCAGTCTTACTCAGTGAAGTTACTCATTGCAATGAATGGCAAAGAATCCTGAGACTCACAAATGTTCAGGGTACTCAGAAAAAGTGAAATTTAAGTGCTTAACTCTAAATAGAACATTTCTAACACCTCCATTAAGACACAGGGAATATTGCAAAAGATGATGTGGAAAGAATTTAAGAGCTGGAAGAGCCAAGAGAAGGGCATGACGTAGCCACTGCAAGTATATTCTCACAGTAGTTGTGATTGGTGATGATGAACCTGCAAAGCACTTGTCCAGTCAACAGTCAAACATGGATTGGCTGGTCAAGGTCTCACAGGGCAAGGTCTCTACCATGCCCTGTTGAACTACTGGCTACTGATGGATTCCAGGGCAGAGGGAATCATTATCGTCAGTTTTTTACCCACTGAGCTCCAATGTCTAGTTCTAAACCACAGCTCTACTTAAATCAGTGGAATATAATACAACTAAGAGATGTGGACGTAGGAAAGGAAACTTAGGTATGAGGGGTATTGATTGGGGTAGGAGGGAGATGAGAGGTGGAGAGAGCAATAGGAATGCATTATATGCATATAGGAAATTGTCAAAGAATACATTTAATTAACAAAAATAATGTGGATAATTTTTGAAGACAGTCAATGTCAGCCTCTTCCCTACACACACATACACACACACACACACACACAGAGAGAGAGAGAGAGAGAGAGAGAGAGAGAGAGAAGATATGTGCACAAAAGAATAAAAAATGGACTACACATATATATGTATATATATTATATATTCAAGTGCACTGTTTTTAGTATAAAGTGTCAAAATATAAATCAGAATTCTTATACAATGAATAATGAATGTATTTTTAAAAGAAAAATAAATTTACAAACCAATGAATGGATAGGTCTAAAAAAAATATTTTGAGTTAAGTAACCTAGACACAGAAAGACAAAAGCTTCATGTTTTCTCTCATCTGTGAATGTTAGCTTTTCATATTTAGATATGCATTTCTCACACTTGGAGTATAGGAATGTGAATATTCCTCACACACAGGTCAGGAAATTAATAAAGGGCCATGGATGGTTTGTCTACCAAGGGAGGGTAGATAGAACAAAGTGATGTAAATACTTAAAGAGAATACATAGAATATGAAGGGTTAAACTGAGGAAGGAAAGCAGAGAACAGTGTAGATGAGGGAATACAGGAAGGGTTAAATAATACTAAAATCTTTCAAAAATAGTTATATGAAAGCCTACTATTGTAGATGCTTTCCATGTGTATGTGTGTGTGTTTGAATGTGTGCATGTATGTGTGAGTGTGTGAGAATATAAGCATATACATTTACACATGAATGATAAAAGTTAAATTGTCTTATCCTATAATGGGGTGGTAATGTGCCTACTAGACACTACAGGCTAACAAAAAAATAGCCCCAGTGTCAAGAACAGGCTGCATCTATAGGAGTTGTTGGCCAGTGAGTTCCCATTCACTCCCAAATATTACAAGTTATTACCTTTGCTCTTGGTTATTGTTCGTAACTTGAAAGTATGTCCCTATAGTCACAAAATGATGGAGAAAAGTTTGAATCATGGAGAGTAAAGCTAGACTGTGAGATGAATGGTGAGAAAAAAAAATCACAAAGCCAAAAAGAAAACCCTTGCCTGGAATGAGCTTTGTATAAACAGAGCGATACTTAGAGATGGGTATGCGAGGGGAAGATAGCAAGTCACATTCTTTTCTGTTTTAAACTAAAGCAAGCAGCTTTATAAGGATGTGAAGAACTTGTCAGTTTAGTTTCAACTCTGGATAGAAAGAAGTAGTTCCCTGAGTGTTCTCAGACACTTGCCCTTATCCCCTCAACTGGTCATTTTCCCAGAATGGGTTGTGTTTATAAGTCATGAAATGATTTAAGGTTCTAAATTCATGAGACTTTTATGTATAAATCTTGTCCAGTTGAGTCACATCTTTAAAAAAAAAATAACCAACTTAAAGCATCTTTTAAAACTGAGATCTGAACATGCTGTCTGGCTTAGTGGTCTATGAAGGAAGACTATGAAAGAACAGACAAACTCTAAATTACACTTCAAGATGTGATACTAAAAAATGTACTAAAATGGAAATTTCAATACACACCAGCAAGTGGAAGAGCTGTTTCAGTCACAGCTAAAGTAGAGAGAACCATTATTGTCCTCTTAAAACAGAAACAAATTCTTCATTCCAACTGTGAATGAGAACCAACAATCAAAGCTTTCAGAGACACTATAACATGGAAAATGTGATAAATTATAAGAAAGGGTGTTGTGCAAATAAAATCACCACAGATCAAATTTGCCAATTAGCCTTGAAGAGATAGCATGATATTTACATGAGTGTATTGCTTTGGTCTTCTATTACTTATTTCCTGTAGTATGCTTGTTATTTCATATATATTCTATATTGTTTATGGGCTGTGTGGCAAAGAGACTGAACTAAAGAACATATTGTAGTATTAACAAATATACCTTAGTATACATAATAGATTTAAAAAAACAATGTAATGTTGGGGTTTTTTTGCCCTTTGTAGATTAAGGAAGCAGCTAATTTTTAACTGGAAGCTTTCATCAGGCAATTCAGGAATTTGTGGGCTATTCATCTTGTGACTGGTTGCCAACACATTGGTAAGGCTTTTCATCTTTCTGATCATTGTATCATGGACTCCTCTATTTCATTGGTGAATCATAAAATCCTTTAAGAATATATAGACAAATGATGCCAGATGCCTTAATCTCAGCACTTGAGATGCAGAGGCAGGAGGATCTCTGTAAATTTGAGGCCATCCTGGTCTACATAATGAGTTCCAGAACAATAAGGGCTACATTGTGATACCCTGTCTCAGAATAAAAATAATAACACGTTAAAATATTTAGAGTTAGAAGAAAAGTAACTAGACTGCATGAGTTCAAAATATATAAATAAATATGTGGTTGTCTAAATTAGTAATTAAGATCCTATTATAGCAGCGTATTCTGATATCTGCATAACTGTAGTGATGAATTTAAGCAGTATTTTTAAGGCCTCTAGAGCACAAAACCAAGGAGCATTGACTGTCAACTCAATGAAATAAGCGGTAAATTTCCAGGCAGTTAAAAATAAAGATATTCTTTGTTCCTACCCATGCCTGTGAACTTCCTGATTTCTACCCAAAAAAAAAAAAAAAAAAAAAAAAACCAACAGCTAAGAATTTTCAACCTGGTTGGCTCCAAACCATCAGAAAGGAAAAGTAAACATGGAAGGAATCCTTGTACTGGTATATGTCTTGTCCTCAATGATGTGATTTTATACTGAGAGTAACAGTAGCATATAGTCATGAAGGAGGCAATATAAGGGCAATGTTTGCTGGGGTTAGCAAGAAGCAAACAGGAAAGGGATGAGGTAGCTTTTGAATGAGTGTATGGCTATTTCCTTCCAGGATTTACCATGGAATAAGCCCAGTCTTAGGTGCTGAGGATAAGGAGTTTAAATGGCTATGTAAGACAGGGTTTCTGTGATTTTTGAAGTAAAGAAAAGAATGATAATAAAGTCAATGGTGAGAAGCAATATGGCAAGCCATATCTCTGACATGTGTCACCTGATACCAAGGCACATGTGCTTTAGCTTCTTGCATCTGGCCTTTGTGTGTCTTAAAGCCACACTACACAGGAAGAAGGTCTCAATTACTGAAAATGAGACCTTGGTTTTAGGAATGGAAAGAACTAAGCCCAAACAAACAGAGCCTCTAAACTCTTATATATAGGCCTGACCTATAGCAGTGGGAAGGGGTGCATCAGTTTTAAGAAAAAAATATCTTTTAATACTACTGTTGATTAACAGACATGAAAGAGGACCTCTATTTTAGGTCATGAAGCTGCCTTTATTCATTAGAACCAGCCTTTCTGTATATTTTTTTAAATTCTCCTTTTGGTTATCTTAACAAAATGTGAGATTAAAATTGCTACTACAATGTAGTATATTAGGCAAGCATTATTTTCAGCTTCATAAACAGACCGTGCTAGGTGGCTTTGTGTCAACTTGACAGAAGTTGGAGCTATGAGAGGAGGGAACCTCAGTTGAGAAAAATGCCTCCATAAGATCTGGCTGTAGAGAATTTTCTTAATTAGTGATTGATAGAGGAGGGTCCAGCCCATTGTGGGTGGTGCGACTCCTGGGCTGGTGGTCCTGGGTTGTATGAGAAAGCAGCTAAGCATGCCACATGAAACAAGCCAGTAAGCAGCGTTCCCCCATGGTGTCTGAATCAGCTCCTGCCTCCAGTTTTCTGACCTGTTTGAGTTCCTGTCCTGCTTCCCTTCAATGATGTGCTACAATATGGAAGTGTAAGCCAAATAAACCCACTTTCTTCCCCAACTTGCTTTCAGTCATGGTGTTTCATTGCAGCAACAGAAACCCTAACTAAGACACAGACACTGTTGAACTCAAATAATCAGAGTTTGAGGAGATGACTCCATCACAGGGTAGTACCTGCCATGAAACTGTGAGGTCCTGAATTCTGGTCCCCAGGATGAATGTGAAAAATAAAAATAAAAAAGCTTGGCATTTCAGGTTTATATCAATAAACCTAGTGTTGGGCAGGCAGAGAAAGGAGGATTCCTGGGTCTTGATGTCCAGCTATTTTAAATAAATTGGAAAGCTCCAGATTCAGTGAGAGGTCGCATCTCAAATAAATAAGTGAATAAATAAATGGTAAAAAAAAGGAATAGAAGAAAACACCCGGTGTTGACCTCTGGCCTCCACAAACAAGTGCCCACACATGGAGATACACTAGTACACACACACACAGTACAATCACACATGAATAAGTGTATGTTCAATGTGAATTTTTTGTAAGTAGTACACAAGATGGTTGTCTGAAAGAACTCCAATGAGTGCTATCTTTGAAGAAAAGAAGGGAATGACTGTAGACAGCAGAAGAAAAAAAAACTCAGTGAGATGGAGTTATGATGGGGATTTTAGGAATGAACAGCATTTCACCAGGTGCACGCCTATTGCAATACTGACCCAGAGAACATTACGCCTTGGAACCTGAATGTGCAAGGCTGTCTATAGCAGAGGGAATAATGGGAGCGCAAAACAGGAGTCAAGTTTGGAGGAAGCACAACAGGTCCTGGCCATAGACAGGCTTGATGCTCTGCCAAGCTGTTGGTACTTACACACATCCGTCATCACTCATAGGGGAATAACTTGATGGCAGCATTAGGCCGAGAGACCAGGTTTAGGTTGCTATTGCAGTGGTAAGAGTGATGTTTCTGAAAGAAAAAGAGGCTGGCTACAGAAATGGAAATAAGTGCATTAACTCAAGAGGTAATTTATGATAGATAACAAATCATGATAGTCAGTAGACTTCAGGAATAAAAGAAAAATCTGGGGACATAATTTTTGATGCATTAAGCTAGATGCCAGAGTGTCAGGGCTGTGCAAACAATGGTAGAATACAAAGAATGAAAGATGATATCAGGCTCACTTTGAGGTATTTTAGCTTCACATTTGATACTCCTTTAGCAAGCATTGGTTACCCCTAGACATAGTTGATGTTGTAAATATGAAACTTTAGAAAGGGCCAAGGCCTGAGTCACACATCCTCTGGGAACCATTTGGGAAGTGTGAGTAAAATCAGTTAAGAAAGGAATGTTACAGAGGACATCAGTTCACAGGCACCTAGAAAAGCATTCCATTGAGCAATCATGACCTTCATAATCTAGTTGCAATTCTTTAAAGTTTAACTAAATGACAGATAAGAAAAACATTAGAAGATTCATGAGGTTACAGTGTTAAAAAAATATGCCCTGTTGCTTTTTCAGTGATTAAAGATTAAAAGTCAAGTTTTATTTCTTTGTGTGTGCATGTGTATGTGTATTTATATTTTCTTTCCAGATGAAGGCATATTTATTATTAGTAGTACTTACATTCTAAGAATCTAAGAATGTAAGATCACAAGGATCGACACTGTTTGTGGATCTCTGGTGAGTGATGCCTTCTACACAGCAGGGCTTCAATTTATGTCTGTAGAGTGGATAAATGAGAAAGTGTGACTAACCACCTTCATACTTCTCTGAAAACACAATCCTCTGTGAATACTTTATTTCTGGATGTTAGAAACATATTTTGCACAATCATTATATGTGGTAATATTTTGTGTATGATCTAACAAATAACGCTTCTCTAGAAATCAGAGGGCAGAGTCAGCCACAGAGTTAGCCATAGAGGCCAGGCAGTGGTGGCACACACCCTTTAATCCTAGTACTTGAGAGGCAGAGGCAAAATGATCTCTGTGAGTTCAAGGCCACCCTGGACTACATCAGATTAATCCAGTCTAAAAGAGAAACAGAGCCAGGTGGTGATGCCTCACACCTTTAGTCTCAGTACTTAGGAGTCACACGCCTTTAATCTGAGCACTAGGAAGGTTGACACAGGAAATGACATGGCTGCGTAGAGAAAGGAATGTGATAAGGTGGATGGAGACAGGATCTCAAAGCATTCAGTCTGAGGGTTTCTGGAGACAGGATCTCACCTCTTTTCAGCCTGAGGCCTCAGGGACATTCAGGCTGAGGATTTGTGGAGACAGGATCTTCCCCTTTCATCTGAGGAGTTGGTGAGGTGAGAAGTGTCTGTGGCTTGTTTCCTCTGATCTTTCAGCATTTATCCTTATGTCTGGATCTGGGTTTTTATTTATAAGTTCAGTTAGGATTTGTGCTACAATTATATCATTGGTTTTCAAATATTCTAGTAGTAACTGAGTGAGGGGGAAAGCATAAAGCATCTTTATGCGATTAAACTTGCTTTTTCAAATTTTGTCTTTGAGAATTACATACATGTGTATGATATACTTTGATGATTTTCTGAACTTCTGCCCCTTTTATTCCTCACCAACCTCCTTAACCAAATAACTCTCCTAATTTTATGTCAAAATTTTTTTCCAAGTAACCAACTGAGTTCAGGAGTGTTGCTGGTATGTGGAGAAGTGTAGGTCCATCCTCTGTAGCATGTGAAACCTACCTGGTGCAACACTCCCGAAGAAAGCTGACTGTCCCTCCCCCAGATGCAGCTAATTACCAAAAGCTCCTCAACTAGGGTCTCATGAACACCAGTCCATCTGTTCGTGCTGGAATTTGGCTTGATCTTGTGCTGGTCTTGTACAGGCAGACACAGCCTTGTAGCTGAGAGTACATGAGTTTAATGGGTTTGTTATTACTAGAACAGAATGTTTCTCAGCAGTCCTAGAGTATCCAACATTTAAAAAGTCTACTTTGTAAGAGAAGCCCCAAATGTGACTTTGTGGTTTTGAAGTTTGACACAATTTACTCCCTGAAACTAAATTTCATAATCTTGCTAACATTTCAAAGGGAATTCAATTTCATCCATTTGTAATTGCTTCCTTAAGGTTTTGTCCTACTACTAAGAACCCATCTAATTTTTTCTCCATGAGTGAAAATCAAATCTGACATCTGCCTTGGGGAAATTTACCTTTATCCTAGAAAGTTGTACCTGAGTGTTCCATGCTGCAGAATTGTCAAGAGAATTTTCACTTTGATATGTGCCTGTCTTTATTTAAAATAAAAACCACTCACCCATCTTTATTTAAAATTGCTTATTTTTGACTAAAGAAAACCTTAATTCTCTTATTTTCATGGCTTAATGGTTTAGGATTGAAAGTAGATTTAAGATATTTCATCTATTCTTAGTATGTTAGCTTTAATTCAATTTTTCACAAATACATCGTAATACTTTCAAAATGAATATAGGAGAACATTGAGTTTGCAGACAATTATGAAGCAATTTTTGTTTCCATTTGCAGACTCAGAAGTCATCAGTGTTTCCATAGCATTTGAACTCTGGTTTTGACATGAGAGCTGCAGATTCTCCTGACGAATTCCATCACTCAAAAGAAACATCGGAGCATATCTGCATAGTAGCATGATTAATTCCCCAGAAAGGTACGATAATTAATATATGATAAGATAATTAAAATACACTATATAGCTGTTATTGAGACCTAAATGTGTAAATGTTCTTACTGAGCAGTTTTATGACATAAAAATACTACAAAATTTGAGTAAATCAAAGTGACCAAAACTCTAAAGATCCTCAACTTGTCTGCTTTAGAAAAAAAAAAACAGTTAAAGATTTGGTGAAAACATAGGAAGGCAGTTGAACATATTGGATAGACAGAAAGATGTTGGATGACTAAATTGATAAGAAACTGATTAATATTTTTATTTTTTTAATTTTTAAATTCAGAGAAAAACAGCTGGTGATTTGGCTCAGCCAGTGGTCTCCTAGTACCTTAGTACTTACACACATGCATACATGCACATCTACACGCAATAAGTAAATAAATAAATAAAAGTAATTTTCATAAATTTAAAAAGGACTAAAGAAAACTGTTGAAGATTGCTGGGAGGTGGTGGTTCATAACTTTAATCCCAGCACTTGGGAGGCAGAGGCAGGCAGATCTCTGTGAGTTCAAGGCCAGCCTGGTCTACAAAGCATGTTCCAGGACAGCCAGGGCTACACAGAGAGCCCTGTCTCAAAAATCAAATAAAAATGTTGAAGACCAAAAAATACTTCCTAAGAGATGGAATTTTTTTTCAGAAGAATATAGCTACACAATGAGTTGTATCTATCAAGTGAAAATGTATTTGACACAGATACAAAACACATGAAACAAGCCTCCATTCTTCTCTAGTTCAAATTGCCTTAAATGATGTTTTACTAATATATGAATGTTAAAATATGTGAATGTAGAGAATATGGAATGTTGACCTATTATCCTGCCACAAACAAGATTCCAGACTTCAAATGAGGGATAGATTATCAAAGGGTTTGAGGTTTCTCTTTTCTCCCATTGTTACATGTCCATGACTTTGATTATGAGTCTTTATTGTGAAATCCCTATCTATTTATAATGGGCAAAAAATGGATTTTTTTCCTATTAGGACATTTGACATGCTCATTGTGTGGGTGATAAATACTGAATGACGCCTTCAACTGTTCTGGGATGTCCAAAATTTTCTTCTGATTACTGGGTTAATCAGACATATAAATGGTGAGGACATAGGTGCCGGGCATTAGAAGCACTTGAAACATAAAATATGATAGTTATTTAAAGTTAGTGTTCAAAAATTGAGACTTGGTCAATTGTTTGAAATATCAACAGAAGCAGAGATTGGTTATTATAGCATGTTTCTAACCTAGATGAAATAGTTTCAAAGATGCTGAAATAAGTTTTAGCTCAAAAATTAGTGCTTTAGTAAGCAAGGATAATATACAATCATTTGTGTGTATTTATAAAATTATTTATAACAGTGGTAATTTGTGTGTGGTAAGAATCTTCATTCTCTTCTTTTGTCCTTTTACATATTTTAAGTTATTTATAAAAAACATGTATTATTTTGTAACTAAGGAGCTTGTACAAAAAAATTCCATTTTACAGCATTCATTATTTAATGTCACTGTGTAGAAATCCAGAGGTTTTGTGTAGAATAGACTCATTATACAATCCATTCTCATCTCAATATTCAATATGATCCTTCCTTCAACATGTACCACCAAGTTCCAGCAAAAACTTGAGTATGATGTGGTGACGTAGCCTCAGTTCAAGTTTCCCCTTCCTCTCTCATCAATGGACCATACAAAATAAAACCATGTGGTTGGAGATCATCAGAAGTTTCAATGTCAATAAAAGCATAGTCACAAAATTTAGTAATTTTTCCCTCATTCTGTCAAGAGAAACCCAAGAGCCAGAAATAAAATAAGAAAAAGTGTTGAAAACAATGAAGCAGTTATCCAATATATTTTTGTGTGGAGGCCAGAGGTGACCTTGAGAAAATATACATTTCATAGGAAGGTTTTGTGTACAACAAGAACAGTAATGGGAAGCCTAGCCCACAGCCTATGGTTGAGTGGGAACAGCTGGTTTAGAAAGGAGACAACCTCCATCAAAACTGAACGCAACAAAATGGTGGGTATAACCTGCTGAGAAAGTGACAACAACAGGAAACCAAGAATAATTTTCCATGGTCTACTTGTGAATTGTCTAACTTTTCTTGAGCAGAATTCGGAATGATGGCTGCAAACTCAATCATTGAAAAAAAAAAAAGAGTAGAATTGGAGACAGACTAAAAATACAACCTCAACACTTCCCTTAACTTATTGAAAGAACAGAAAATCCTGCTTATCTGGTAAAACGTTCCTTTCCTCTGGCATATTTTATTGCCCATACAGACAGTTGGCCCATCACTCAACCACCATTGCATGTCAGATATTTTCTCAAGTGTCCATCCTAAAATGTTTATGTGGCTGGTCAATCACAACAATGAATTCTATTTAATTATATGGCATTTAAAAATCTTGCTCATTTGATGACCAAGTATTTTTCTTGTCCTTATTATCAGTTCATTATACTCAGCTACTAATTACACAAATAATCAGCTTTGAAAACACAAAACTGGAAATGGTGAAAGTTTTTATTATAAAGGATTTGCCACAAATTCCTCATACAGACAAGATAGTGACTCAAAAAATGTAATATCACACTATAACATGCAAATGCAAGGGTTAGAAAGAGGTAGTGATATAGTGATTAGGAGTTACTTAGGTTCCGAGCCCTCTCTACCTCATCTCTTGCTGGGCATTAAAATGCCTTTTATTACAAACATTAATGGCATCCACTGTTCTTGTTTTGGTATCTTTAGATCAATTACATAACATTGTCCTTTCTTCAGTACCCTGGACTTGAAGTAGTAGTAGTAGTAACAGTAATAACACATCATCTTTTATTATCTAAAAGAAGCTAAAATAGGTCTACCCATTTCTTACATATGTGTTATAGCTATGCATAGTTCATACATGCCAATCAGTACAGGAAACAAACAGGATGCATTAGGCGCTAAGGAAGAGTTAGACGTACGGCTGTGAAGTAAGTACTACTGATTAGGGTGGGAGACAACGCTTCTGGGGACAGTTTGCCAGGAAAGGTTCTGAGGATAATTTGGAATCAATAACAAAGAATGAAAACCAACAAACTCCTCTATGAAAGTGGTGATTTTCAAACAAGAAATAAATATACTTATAATAATATGTAAAAAAAAATTTCAAAAATTTCTTGATGGGCGGGGTAGATATTTGTGGAGCGGTGAATATTTTTCTGCATTACAAATAGTGATGTGGATGGCAGTAGATTTCCCTGTACTGAGAAAGTCTAAGGAACAGACTTATTAGTGTTCTCTTGCTCTATTTATACCACCAACTGCCGCTCTGCTTATTTCCAAACTTCAGATTTATTTAATCAACTCAACCTGACATGTTTACTGTCTCAGTTACCTGAGGAAGATATAAGTAAATTTAAAAGACTTGCTTCTGAAAGTTTGTGGTCACTAGAGAGCCATTTACATTCTGGGGGACACTAATCCATCTTTTATTAAATTTGGCAGAACTGCCCCCCCCCCAAAACTTCATATAAAGCTTATTAGATTGCAAGCTCCTTGAGGGCTAGAATCGTGTGTCCCTTGTCTTGGTATTCAATTCAGCAAGCCTCTGTATGGAAAGGGTTACTGTATTCATGCATTTTAATGAAATTGTTATCAACTGAAACTAGACGGATGCCAAGAGTGTAAAGTCACACACTGCTGCTCTCAGTCACCTTCATGTATATTAGTGTCCCACTGCTGTTATATTCCTTTGATTATTTCCAGGTATTTTTGTGGTTGTGGGAATGAAATCTAGAACACTATATGAGAAAAGAATTTACTTTGGAATACTAGATCATTAATAGGAAAGTCCGTGGCCTGGGTATTTAATAGGAAGATGGTCTGCTGACATGTCATTAATAAGAAAGTTTGTTGGCCTTATGGCCTATCCTATCATTGACAAAGCAAATGTAGAAACTTCATAATTTTGGACAGCCTAATTTGGACGCCATGAAATTGGGCCTATAGTAGATGTATTTAATTTTTTATACTATGCTTGTAAAAGTAATTATATATATATATATATATATATATATATATATATATATATATGTCATAGAGATTCATTTTTCACTTGATAGTAGCCCCCTAGTTCTGATACAAACTAAATGAAAGCCAGAGCTTATGCCCTGGGAAATAAAATTGCATGTATTAAAAATATATTTAATTTATGTTTTCCAATACTGTTGAGATATTTCAGCAGCCTAATGGATACCACAAGTTATTCTAATGAAGTCCATGTGTAATTATTGTGCCATAATCTGTGGAATTCTGACATTTTCATAATTAACCAAAGCCTAGGGATTTAGTTCTCACTTCATCTTCTGGTCGGTACTGAATTCTTAAGTGTGATTAAGAAGCTGATGTTACATTTGAACACCCAGCTCCAGCTGCAAGAAACAGTGCTCCCTAAATTATATGGTTTTCCAGCATTCCTTGTGACTGGAAGGAATTGTTTCCATAAAATCGTGTGTTTTGGAGCAACTGAATATTCTGTACAACATTGGCCTCTTAACCCAGCCTTCTCTTACCTCTGCATATTTGAGTCTTGATCCTTTTTCAGATTACAGCTCAACTATCTACCCTGAGGAACTTTTTCTGAAAAATCTATATAATGTCTGTTAGAAGGATACCTACCTTAAATCATTTCATATAGCTCTAGTATGCTATCATATGTGACATCTAATAGTAAGCTCTCACATTAATTTTCTTAGATGGTGAGAAATAATTGTCTCTTCATGTTTCTTATTCCAGGCAGGCAATTCAATTAATTTTTGACTAAAAATCTGAAGTCATTTCATTTCTTAAAACTATGGAATATTTTTAAAATAAATATGGAAGATAAAACAGCTTTGACAACTTTAATATATATAATTCAATATCAATATAAACAGACTTTTCAAGGTTAAAAATATTCAGTGACTCACATAGTAGAATTCTTAAAGTCATTTCTTTTATTTTTTGAG